TATTTTTTTTTTTTTTTTTATAGCCTAATCATACTGTACCTCTTGTTTTAGCGCCACCTCTGACATATTTGTCAAATCATATGTTGCATCCTCCTCTTCATCTTTCTCCACTTGGTTGGTGTTTTCCTCATTCGTTTTTGAAACCCTCTCTCGTTTTCTCGTCCGGCCGGTGGTCTTTGTCTCCTGTTTGGGCTCTTCCTTCTCTGGTAAGTTGGTCTTCTTTGCTTCATCTGCAGCACTCTCTATCTCCACTTCTTCAGACATGCTCACATCACATGTTTCCTCTTTATGGTTTTCATCATTGATTGTGTTCTCTGTATCATTAGCATCAGCTATATCGTTCGTGTTTTTTGTGTTGTTTATATGCGTCATGTCTGTTGACACGTCTGCCATGCTCATCGCTTCAGTCATGTTGTTGTTTCTAAGACACACTGTAACAGGGCCTGTTGCAAGATACGTCAGATGAAGCTGACATTGGAAAAAAAGACATCATGACCACAAGATTCCATTGCAAAGGCACTGCTTTTGACTAACTGCAATCTTTAGTATGTTACAGATTCTTAGACTGTTACTTGGTTTCTTGAAAAGGTAAGAAATTGGAACTTAAGTGAGCTTTGAGTCTTGATAGTGTTAGTTGGTGGTCTATAAAAGAACAGATGTGTGTGTGTGGGACCTCCACCAGGAGCCTTGTGGGACATACAGGCCCTAAATTTAACTCCGAGTCTGGGTCCGGCCATGTGATTGGGGCTATTTTTACCTGGAGATATGAGTCTAAGAAGAGGTCAGCACCCAGATGGCACACGAGACCCCTGACTAAATGACTACATTTTAGATGATTCAGATGTGTTGTGTCTCTACAGTGCAAAAGTACAGTTAATTTAATTATTGTGATAATGTGTGCACAGTTTAAAATTGTATCTTTGCATTTCATAAGTTCTGCATCTGACATCATTCATCCAAGCTACAATAATCCCAGAAGAGCAGCAGCATTTACCCATGCAGCACAGAAAAACACAATTTTAGGCATGATTCATGTGTAATATTATATACCAGTAATCCTCAAAATTTTGATGCATAGTCACTCTCCTTTGCTATTCATATATGACAACATGGTGCTCCTCTGGTGACTAGAACTCACAACTGATCACACCTCACTTTTAGAAGATGACAATATGAAGACAATATGGCCCCCGCAAACAATGTTTCCATTTTTAAACATTGTTTCCCACCACATTTCCAACTGAAGTATTCATTTTTATCAACTGATGTGAATTTATGCAGTACACTAAACATTTTCCACAGACATCCATTCCTTACATAAATATGTTGCTACAATGTTTACCATCTTAATTAGTATTCAGACTTAAACTTAACATTTAAGGTTGATTTCAGAACTGTATTGGATACTGAGGATGTTTTTTCTGTTTAAAAGCATTTAGCTAAAGGTGTCACAAAAATGTCAGTATTTTCATTTAGGCTAGTTGTTATTTAATAATGTCTTCAACATAAATGAATAGATATATCTTTATACTTTGGCTAAACGATAATTTATTACAATTTCTCATAATGTGGTCTCCATGAAGATCTTTAGCTTTTTGCAGTTGTGCTTTTTTATTTATAAGCCTTTCCCCCTTAAATATTAGTGATTAATTGGGGGTCTAATAGAATAAATAACAGTATGTAAGAAAAAGAATAAAAGAAGAAATAAAAGTCTAGTCTAGTGTATTATTCTCGGTGAGTTAAGGAAAGATTAAAGATATGAGGTCGACCATGTAACACTGGCCCTCATCTGCCTGTGGACTTGCCCTTTGGATCCCCCCCCCCCCCCCCCCCCCCCCCCCCCCGTTTAATGAGGAGGTATCTAGACCGCAACATCGCGATGGTCATGTTCCCACACT